GCTGCAAAAGACTTCTTTAAAGTGCTAAAGAGCAAAGATATCTCTTTGAAGACTAAGGTGCACCTAACCCAAGCCATGGTATTTTCAGTCACCTTATATGCCTGTGAGAGCTGGACAATGCATAAGGAAGACTGAAGAAGAGTTGACGCTTTTGAGTTGTGTTGTTGGCGAAGAATACTGAAAGTACCGTGGATTGCTAAAAGAACTAACAAATCCGTCCTGGAGGAAGTGCAGCCAGAATGCTCCTTGGAAGTGAGAATAGCCAGACTTCGTTTCACCTACTTTGGTCATGTTGTCAGAAGGGGCCATTTCCTGGAGAAGGATATCATGCTTGGTAAAGTGGAGGGTCAACGATAAAGGGGAAAGCCCTCAATGAGATGGATTGACACAATGGCTGCAATGATGGGCTCAGGTGTAGCAAGGATTGTGAGGCTGGCATAGGACCAGGCAGTGTTTCGTTTTGTTGTACATAGAGTTGCTATGACTTGGAGGTGACTCAACAGCATAACAACAACACAACAATATCATTGATCATATAGACAAAGAGGTGGGTTACTCTGCTGGCTGGGATGACTGATCCTGATTACCAAGATTAAACGGGGTTGCTGCTACACAGTTGTGAAAGACTATATATGGAAACCAGGGAATTTTCTGAGGTCTTTCATAGTACTTAATTGTAAAAGATTAACAGACAAGCACAACATCTCAAGGATCACAAAAGTTTTAAGTCATTTCTCTAGGTAAAATATCCTAATCACTGGAGGTGTTGGCTGAGGGCAGAGAGAACATAGTAGAGGGAAAAAGAGAGAGAAATTGTGGTCTACAACAGAATCAACTATAGCACCTACAAGTATTTTCTTCCTTGCTTGGTGTGTGTGTGTGTGTGTATCTACACACACATACATTTTTATGAGGAAGGCTGGTGATGGTTAACTGTACAATGTAATCTGTATTTTAAGTGTACAATGTAATCTGTATTTTACATCTGTGAATATATATATATTCACCAAACTCACTGATGTCAAGTTGATTCAGACTCATAGCAACCCCTCCGAGGCTGTAAATCTTTATAGAAGTAGATTGCCCCATCTTCCTTCCACGGAGTGGCTGGTGGGTTTGAATTGCTGACACCGGAGCTCCTTATTTTACGGTATATTCAGGGTATAGTTGTGACTTCTAGAACTAGAAAAGAAACCAATATCATCCAATGTGTTCTTACTAACTGATGGTGCTTTGTGAGTGTCATTTTTGAACAAAGGATGAATATGTCCTCATTTTAGGAGGACAGTTCATCCTGTGAGGATTAAGCATGATGCTATTGTTCTTGAATGGAAGTTTAATTATGATCAGAAGGATTCTGTGGATGTTTGAGTAGCCAAAGAGGCCAGTGCCAGATAGTGTCTGTGGTCTCCAAGTTCTACCCTTGCCCTGTCTTGGCCCTAGCTATTTTCTTTTTCCATTTTGATGAAAAAATGTGCAAATTCTTATATATGTTTTCAAAATAAATATAACTATGCCTTATGTTTCACAAATTATACTTTTGGTTTCATGTTCTTCAGCTATTTCTAACACATTTTTCTTTTGGGAAATTCTGTGGCCATGTGTCCTGGGAACTCTCTTGAAGGTCTGTGTTGGGTTAACATGAGTGAATGTACTTTATAAACTGTGAAGCCTTGCACCCAGGTGAAGTGGGTTTATGTCAAGGTCAGGGCTTTGAGAAGTCTATCCAGCAGCCATCCTCAGCCCCAGCAACTTGAGACTTGAACTTAACTGTTACTTGCTCTTGTGGAGGAACTGAGTTGGAAACCTTGTGCCTCTACCCCTTGGGCCCCAACCTTTGGAAATGAGAGCTAGATGGACAACACAGATTTAGAAATGAAAATCAACTGCTCCTCCTGGATGCTTTATTGGGGGCTTTCAGTGGTTTCTAAGCGTGAGAGGCAGTGATACCCAGACCCTTTCCCAACATGCAAAAGGCACAGGAAAGTGAGACATGACCAGGGTAGGCAACATGGATACAGGGACCTCCCTACATGGCAATGGTAGGGCACGGGAGAAGCCCCATGAGTGATGGGAAAGGTGAGTGTAAAGGAGATGGCTTTGGCAGAGGCTGGGACAGGGACCTGAGGTTCATCTACCTCTGGACCTATGCCTGCACTTGGGCCAAGACTGACCTGCAAGAAGGCCAACATGGCTTTTAGTGGAAGCCCCACCCCACATGATAGGAAAACTCAACTTCGGGCAGGAAGAAGATGACAGATGCTGTCGTCAGGGATCACTCAAATGCCAAACCAAACACACTGGCCCAAACGAGAGGGGAATGAGAAGTGCTCATGGTGTCAGTCCCAACCATGGCTTTGTTTTTGGGTGCCAGTGCCTTGGCTCAAGTCAGGGCTGTCTCAGTCCATGTCCAGGAGAAGAATGAAGCCCCTTCCAGTCTTCAGGGGCCTCCCACTGGATCACCAGGTCTCCAGCCCCACCCAGAGGTACCGGTTAGAAGAGTTGAGTCGTGATGTTGGCTTTGTCCTGTGGAAGAGTGTCCTGGGTGAAAGGGAAGGGGAGGCGAGGGGTCAGGCCCTCTTAGCCCCCAGCACCTCCCAGAATCTGGGCCCTGGTAGATGAAGTAACCGGGGACTCACCTCACATCCTAACCAATCCCCACAGTTCCATCTTGAGACCTTGAATCGAAAGAAAAGGCATTTGTGTTTTGCTTCTGTTTTTTCTCTCTCTCTCACTCTTCTTTAGTATAGCCGTGGCCTCAACTCACAGCATTGGCAACGTCTACTTCTAAACTATGGAATGTTTTCACATTGACGATAGAATTACTCAGAACAAGGGGCGGGGGAAGGCTGTCCAAGTGTTCATAAGACAGTGAGTTACGGAGAGCTCATTGGGAATCACACAGCACAGAGACATTGACAGTCACACACCAAGCCCCAGGCCTGGCTCTAGATGTATTTTTTCTTGAGGTACCAGTAGGCAAAGTAGCCCATTCCACCCAGGGAACCCATGAGGAAGGAAGCCCCAAAGAAAGATGGGGGTTTCCGCTTGACCAGCCGGAATGCATTGGGTATGACGGCCGACAGCAAGGTGGTGTGGATGTCACCCAGTACTTTCCGGAAGGCAAAGCGTCTCTGGACCCTCTCAAAGAAGGATTGCAGGTTGGGTCGGCTGCCATCTTCCCAGTATTTCTTGGACAGTCCCAGGAACTTGAGGCGGTGTAGGGTGGCTCCCAGGAGGACGTCAGCCAGGGTAAAGGCACAGCCACAGAGCCACAGCTCACATTTCTGCCCTAGAGTGGAAGAAAGAGGAGATGCCGGAAGGGGGAGGGAGGAAATCCAATTTCTTCCCACAACACACACTCACATCTCTCCCCATAACAGCTCGAGCTTTTGTTGACCACAGTGTTGCCTGAAGGTCATTCATTCATGTACCACTTAGATGATTTTGCCATATCTTTATACTATCTCTATTTATATTTATTCTATTTTTTTCTTTAAATCAACTGACTTTTTAAATGTAAATACATATATTTAAATTTTGCACTCATATATCCACCTATCCATCTGACAACTCTCCTTGGATGTCCATTGTGCATTTCAAACAGGACATGTCCAAGCTGAACACTTGATTGTCACCCAAGCCCACTGCACACATCCCTATTTCAGTAATGTCACCTCCATCCTTCCAGTCATTTAAGCCAGAAGCCTTGGTCCACCTCTAATTCTTCTCTTTCTTTCTTAATCCACATACAGTTTGTCAGCAATTCCCACCAGTTCTACCATCAAAATACATCCAGAATCTGATGGCCTCCACTCTTAATGATCCTACCTGAATTAATGCAAAACAAAGTTGCTGTCAAGTCTATCCCAACTCTTGGTGACCTCATGTGTGTAGAACTGTACTCCATAGGGTTTTCGATGTGTGATTTTTTTTAAAGTAGTTTGGCAGATCTTTCTTACAAGGTGTCTCTCAGTGGACTCAAACTTCCAACCTTTCTGTTAGCAGCCAAATGTGTTAACAGTTTGCACTACCAAAAAAAGCCAGACCCACTGCCATCGAGTCAATTCCAACTTATAGCAACCCTATGTGACAAAGTAGAACTGCCCTGTAGGGTTTCAAGGCTGACACCCATCTTCATAGAAGCAGACTGTCTCATCTTTCTCCCGTGGGGTGGTTAGTGGGTTTGAACTGCCAACTTTTTGGTTAGCAGTCAAATGCCTTAACCACGGCACCATCAGAGCTCCTAGCCAGAGACTCCAAATTATTGTAACATCCCCTCAAAAAGTCTCCTTGCTTCTGCCCTTGCTCCATAGAGTATATTCTCAGCATTTAAGTCATAACATATCACTTGTCTCTGCTCAGAACCCTCTAATGACTCTTTCATCATGGTCAGGATAAAAGCTGAAGCCCTTCCAAACTCTATGAATATAAGGCCCAACCTGATCTGGCCTCTAGGTGCCTTTCAGACCTGGGGTTCTCCCTTTTCCTTCTCTTCTTCAGCACACTGGCCTCCTTGTTGTTCTTAAATGTGCCAAACACTTTCCCACTATGGGCCTTTGCACTTGATGTTCCCTCTGCCTGAAATGCTCTTCCCCACAGTGCTCACTCCCCCACTGTGGTAGTTAAGTTTGTGTGTCAACTTGGTGAGGCCTGGTTGAGTGGCTGGGCAGCTGGGTGTAGTAATCCCCATGATGAGACTGGGAGCCATCTCCATAGTGGAATCTATTATGAGCAGCTGAGTAAGCTGCCTTGGGGATGTGGTCTGCTTCCTGTATATAAGGAGAAGCCTTGGGAATGATCTCTAGTTTATGACACACTTGAACCCTGCATGTAGCCAAGTTGTTGTTCAGCAGGCTGCCATGCTCTGCTGATCTTGGAACTTTTAATGGGCTTGAATTAATGGCCTGCCATGTGGTTTGGTAATATCAGGACTGTGCCTTGTTACTTGTCAACCTTGGGTTTGTCAGCCTCAGCACCCAGCAGCTGAGTGAAGAAAAGCCTCCAGCTTCAGTGGGCCGGGAGCAAGAGGCTGAGGTGAAGCCCAAGGTTGAGGGGCTTTAATCTAGCCCCTAGAGCCTGGCACTTTGAACTCGGACTTAAGGCCTCCAAACTGTAAGACTAAACTCCTGTTTGTTCAAGCCATCCCATTGGTGGTACATTTTCTGTTAAAGCAGAATTGTTGTTGTTATGTGCCGTCAGGTCGGACCCAACTCATAGCGACCCCTCCTTGGGTTTCTGAGGCAGTATCACCATGGAAGTAGATTGCCCCATCTTCCTTCCGAGGAGTGGCTGGTGGGTTTGAACTGCCAGCCCTCTGATTAGCAGACAAGTGCTTTAGGTACTATGCTACCAGAGCTCCTGTTAAAGCAGCATAGAGGTAACCAAAACAGAATATGGTACCGAGAGAGTGGGGTGCTGCTCTGACAGATACCTAAAATGTGGAAACAGGAGTGGAGTGCATCCTTGACCCAAGACCCTGGCAGAGAGACCCCAGCATACAGCATGAGACGGCAGTAGCAGAGCCCAGAGACCAGCATGAGATAGCGACAGCCTTAGCCCATGGAGGAGAAAGTTGGATGCCATTGGGTAGGCGGCTTCCTGGTGGAGTGGGTTGCCTTTGGGTATTAATCGGTGAAGAGATCGGCATAAAATGGAGCAGCAGGTTGGCTGGCCCACGGAGCAAGAAAGCCGAGTGCTTTTTGGGCAGGAATTTTTCCAGCAGAGTGGGTTGCCCCTGGGCATTAATTGGCAGAAGTGGAGAGACCAAGGAAATGGGAACCAGAGCTGTCTCAGCCTCAAGGGTAGGTCCATGGCCTTTGGGGGTGGAACCACCTTAGCCCCCAGGTTTCAAAGAGTTAGACCTTCACCAACTTGGTTCTGGAGTGTGGGGCTGCTCGTTCATGTGAACGAGTGGGATGGAGCCATAGCCGCTGCCCAAGGGTGAGGGGGCGGGGCTGCCATAGTCAACAGGGAGAAGAACAGGGCCCTCCAGGCCAAGGGGGTGAGGTCGCCTCAGGAACTAGGGGACTGGAGCCACCCAGTGAAGATCTGTACAGGTGCCAAGTTGACAAGGGGTGGAATTGTTGTTAGAGTAGCATAGAGGTAACCAGACACCCATCTTCTTCAGTCTTTGCTCAAATACCATCTTCTCAGGGGGGCTTCCTTGGACACCTATTTACCCAACCACAGCAGTTCCTACCCCCTTCCCCATTTTGCTTTGCTCCATAGAAATTACCTCTGTTATCATTTTCCATACTCATTTTGTTTATCATCTCTTCCTTTACTAGAATGAAAGCTCCTCTGAGGGCACGGAGTTTGGTCTGCCTGTTCATGACTGAGGGAGCTCTGGTGGCACTGTGGTTAAAGCACTGGACTGCTAACCGAAAGGTCAAGGGTTTGAACCCACCAGCCACCCCATGGGAGAAAGATGAGAAAGTCCACTTCTATAAAGATTGACAGCCTTGGAAACCCTATGGGGGATTTCTCTTCTGCCCTACGGAATCACCATGAGTCAGAACCGACCCGATGGCAGTGGGTTTGGTTTGGGTTTTGATTCACGACTGCATCCCTGCACCTAAAACAGCACCTGGCACATAATGCATCTTAGTAGGTACTGAATCAATGAATGAATGACAAGGAAACCCTATACCCTTAACATATCACTCGCTACAAATGATATATGATGGTAAAAGTAAGCATGGCAAAAAGGAAACAATGCTATTAAATTCCAGCTGGATGCTACTGCCCACCAAAATCTCTGAGCCCAAGGCTTGTCTTTTTTTTTTTAATTTTTAAAGAAAGGAGAAGATATTAACATGTATTACAAAGAGGTTAAATACTAGCACCATATTGAAATGTTTCTTTGATATTATCAAAATAATTGGAGAAAACTGAAGAGAATAATTCTTCCTCTGTGGTTTTGTCTTCTTTATTGCCATATTCCTGTGCCATCTAAAATTAGCCCACACCTTTGGGAAACACAGGTCTGTGCACCATCTTTCTCCCAGCCATTTAGACTTGAAGTTTTGGAGCTCCTTTGGTACCCTACATCACCTGTTTGCTCGCAGACTCTATTCTCCCACTTACTGCACACTAACATCCACATTCCTTTGCTGGTGTTCTAAGCTTTCCAGTAGTCTAGTTCCAATATGTTCCTCAAATCTTCTGATGAATCCCCTGTCTGCCCACTGTCCCCCCAAGCAAGCCATGTCCTTCCCTTTCAACCTCTGAGCCTTTGCCCCTGCTGTGAGCCATCCCTGGGATGCTTGCTCCTCCTTCCATATCCTTGGTGCCGTTGTGGAGGGAGAGCTAAATATAGCGTTAGATTCACAGAATTTCCCAGCTGAAAGGAACGTTAAGGGGAGCTCTGGTGGCAGCCACTCCTCGGAAGGAAGACTGGGCAGTCTACTCCCATAGAGATACCACCTCAGAAACCCAAGGAGGGGTCGCTGTGAGTCTGAAGTGACTAGATGGCAGTGAGTTTGGGTCTTTTTGGCCACCATCAAGGAGCTCTGGTGGTGCAGTGCCTAAGGCATTTGACTGCTAACCAGAAGGTGGGCAGTTCAAACCCACCAGCCACTTCACAGAAGGAAGGCTGGGCAATCTACTACCGTAAGATGTACTGCCTCAGAAACCCAAAGGAGGTTGCTATGAGTTGGAATTGACTTGGTGGCAGTTTGGTTTGTTTTTTGATGCCACCATCAAAGGAACACTGGTGGTTGCAGTGGTTAAGTGCTCAGCTGGTAACCAAAAGGCCAGTGGTTTGAACCCACCCAGTGGCTCCACAGGGGAAAAGACTTGGTGATATGCTTCCATAAAGACTATAGCCTAGGAAACCCTGTGGGACAGTTCTGCTCTGTCATGTAAGGTCACCATGAGTCGGAATCAACTCACAGTGCACAACAATAACAATAACTAGCAAAATTTGGGCCTCTCTTTCACTCTGTATCTTCCCATTCATTCATTCAATAGATGTTTAGCTGGTAGCATGTATGGGGCATGAAAATAAGACAAGACAAAATGTCTTCCCTCAAGAGGCTCATAGTTTCATGGGGTGAGGCAGAGTAAAGTGTAATGAAAGCTGTAATCAGAAGTTTGTTCTTGAATGTGTAACACATTTCACATATAATGCATGCTCATAGGAAACTGATCCACAAGGAAGTTGTGCATGGAAAAAACCTTATAACATGCAATATTTGCGTGAAAATATGGTAGCCGTCAAGATGCCTGTTAGATGTCCAAGGGGAGATAGAGAGCCAGCAGTTAGAGATGTAAGCCTCTAGTTCAGGG